ACATAAATATAAATTCTGGAAGATATCCTTTTCCAGAAAAAAGTCTGTTTCATGCCCATTAAAAATGTGTTGATTAGTATTATCTACCTCTTAAAATTATTTTCGTCATAGCAATCAATATTTGCAGTTAACATTTTTTCATTACCCACTTCATTTCCATTTTCTTTTTACGCTTTAAATAAACCTAAAGCTTTTGTTTGAATGGATGTTCTGCTAAGAGGAATAGATTTTTTTCATTACCACTAAAAGACTCTCCATTTCTATCACTGTAACGATTCTATATAGTTGTTCGCAACCACAAAAAGCTGATGCAACTCTACCTTTGTCTTCCACCTTGCCTTTGTGTTTTATAATATTCCACATTGTAGATGCAAGCATTCTGGCATCTCGTGGTATTTCAGAGTCACTCTGACAACGCTCACGCTGGTCAGGAACATCAAATTTTTGCTCTGATGTAATAACAAGTCTCTTTCCTTTTCGCACTGGCAGTGTTTCCACCTGAAGTACTCTTCCTTTTGCCTATTTTGCTAAAGGATTTTTTTTAAAACAACTTCGACGATACGGTACACAGCAGCATATCACACACACACACACCTGCAGATAAACACATGCAGATAAAAGACTGTTAAAACTCTCAACTAGACCAAAGGTGTAGCATTAATTAAATTTTGGTTCATATTAACTGTAACTTGGTATCATTTTATAATTCATACTAAATCAAATTTCACATTACTCAAACTTGCATTAATTATGATCTAGCTAGAGATAATCTATGGCCCAAGGGGCAAGTTCTTTGTCTCCATCACCTGCTCAGTCACTTTTCTGAGTTTTTCTCAAACAACTATAACATTCAAAGTTCACATACTCTTCACAAGCTTGGAATTGAACATTCAAAGTCTAGAAAGGGCAAAAATCTGAAAAGGGTTTTGCCACCACTCTCTTCAACATAGGGTTAGAGTTAGAAAAGACCTCCGAGATCATCTAGTCCAAAACCCTCATTTTACAGAAGAGGAAATCCAGGTCCAGAAAGACAGACAGGTGAAAAGAGGCAAAGCCAAGATTTAAACGCAGGAAGTCTGTTAACTCCAAATCCAGCCCTCTTTTCACCTTACTATGCTGCCTTCCAAGTTATTAACATTATTATTACCTCTCATCTGAATTACTCAAATAATCTCCTAACTGGTCTCCCAACTTCTGGTCTCTCTCCCACATTATAGCTATAAACCAAGTTATTCTTCCTAATTCATAGGCTTCATTCACCATGTCCTTCTTCTGATAAAAAAAATTTTTTTCAATGGTTCCTGACTGACCACAGAATAAAGTTCAATTCCTCACCCTGGCATTCAAGGTCCCACTTCATTATGTGGCACCCACCTACCTTTCCAGCCTTCCTTCTTATTATTTCCCTACATGTGCTGTGATTCACTTCAACTGGATCCTGTTGAATGTGTTCCGTATTTCCTTATCTTATGCCTTAGTTTGAGTTGTTCTTTCTAAAATGACTTCTTTACCATCCCTGTCTCCGTCCTGGCCTGTTGAAATCTTTCCTGTTCTTCAAGACCTAGCTCAAATGTTATCTCCTCTATAAAGCCTTCCTTAATTTTCCATTTTGGGTATGATTTCTCTGTACACCCTCAGTACCTGTTTAAGGTTTCTTCTCCTCCTATGAAACTATTTAAACTCTGCCTCCTTCTATGCTTATCTGTAAACCTGTTTTGTTTCCCTCCTTGCACCCATAGGGAAAGCACTGTTTTATGATGTTTTATTTATATTTGTATCCATCAAGGAGTCCTGCCCAGGGCCTTGCATGTAGTGGGTGCTCAATAAATGGGTCTCTCAAAAAGAGTGACTGAATGAAGGTTGGTGATGGGTAGCCAAGCTGGCCCCACATAATCTAGTGTGTGTGTGTGTGTGTGTGTGTAAGAAGTTTCAGTGGTTCCCATTTAGATTTCCCAACCTCTATAGTTCAAACACAACAATTTTAACCCAATACACAAATTCCAAATATGACCTTGGGGATGGGAGAAACCACACTCTATTGAGCCTCTACTGAGGCTCTGTGGCACAATGGAAAAAGCATGTGCTCTCCCTTTAGAGATTTAGGTTTAAACCTTGCTCTGACACCTACTATTCACATCGCCTTGGGGAAGAAGCTTAATCTCTCTGGGCCTCAGCTTTCTGATCTGTGAAAAATGACTCAGTTGGACTAGAGGGTCTCTGAGGTCTTTCACTCCAGATTTGCAATGCTGTGGAAGTCCATCCCACCGAACCCTCCAAAAGCAGAGCTGATTCACCGAATGAATTTGGGATTTTAAAAAACACGGTATCAAACCTCTTGGTAACTTTGCTGCTCTGATAAAGATCTGAAAAACCTCCCCTTCCTTGTGCCGTCTTCAGTCAGGAATTCTCAGCAAACTCAAGGGACTTCCATTTGTTCCCTCTAGAATGCCTGCTCCATAATTAACAGATTTCTCTTCATCCTAAACCTCTTCCTATATTTCTCCTTCCACATCTGGCTCCTTCCTGATGACATTAATCCTAATTACCTTTCCAGTACTGGCATATTTTCTCTCACACCCCCTAACTCACTGGTCAAAGTTGGGGAGTCCAAAAACTCCTCGCTCTCCAGTGCTACTTCCAGACTCTCCCTCTACCCCTAAACAGCCTATCCTCCTTTGAGGTTCAAAATATACAAATTTATGGGGCAGCTAGGTGGCGCAGTGGACAGAGCACCAGCCCTGAAGTCAGAAGCTCCTGAGTTCAAATCTGGCCTCAGACCAAACACTTGACACTTACTAGCTGAGTGACCCTGGTCAAGTCACTTAACCCCAACTGCCTTGAAAAAAAAAATACATATATATATATAAATTTATCCCCTAACTTAGATTCTGATGGCTCTGATCTACAGAACCCTCCTCCTCCAGGACATTTTCCTTCCTTCCTTAATGAGATCAGTGCCTGGCTCATGGTCTTTCTGTCCTTCCCATCTCCTGCCCTCACACTAGGGGACGAAGGAGAGAGAGAGAGAGGCTGACGACTTTGCACAGATCTGCCTCACTCAAATCCAATTCACGAGCAAGTCAAGATATCACTTCGTGATGTCATTGGTCCTCTTTGAGAATGAAGGACAACATCATTTCAGACACCTTCTTCCACTATCTCCTCCTTCACTGGGGTCTCAAATGATGAGGCAGTCCTTCCTCCTGCCAAGATCATTCTTTCTATATGCACCCTTGATTCCATCCTGTCCTATCTTCTCCAGCAGATCACCGTCAACATCACCTCTACTCTCATCTTTACTTTCTCCCTATCTACTGGACGCTTCCCAGCTGCCTACAATGACTATGTCTTTCTCATCCTTAAAAATTCCTCATGATCCTACCATTCCCGTAATGTCATCCCATTTCTCTTTCCCTTCATAGCTAAACTCCTAACCACTTACACTCAGTGCCTCCACTTCTCTACTCTCTTCTAACTGCTCAGCAATCTGCCTTTCGACCTCATCATTCAACAGAAACTTCCCTCTCCAAAGATACCAGTGATCTAATGACCATATGTAGTGGTCTTTTCTCAATCCTGATCCTCCTTGACCTCTTTGCAGCCTTTGACACTGTCAATCACCATCTCCTTCAGGATATTCTCTCCTCTCTAGGACTGTGACACTGAAATCTCCTAATTCTTCTCCTATCTGCCCAATGCTTCATTCTCAGTTTCCTTTGCTGGTTTCTCATCCATGCCAGGCCTTCTAACTGTGGATGTCCTCAAAGATCTGTCCTGAGCCCCCTCCTCTTCTTACTCTACACTATTTCACCTGATGATCTCATCAGCTCCCATGATTTCAATTATCATTTCTATGCAGATGATTCCTACTTCTCTCTGCTTAACCCTAATCTCTCTGCTAAGCTACAGGTATACACCTCCAATTGCCTCTTGAACATCTATAGCTGAATTGTGCTAGAGCCAGCTCATACTGGCTTCAAGAGCCAATTGTTAAATTTTCAGTGAGAATTTACAACTCAAAAATCAGCAAAAGTTACAAATCAGAGCTAAACATTTGCCAGCACATCACTACCCAGATGCATCTCAAACTCAGTATTGTTTTCCCCAAGAAACCTCCCTTCTGAACTTCTCTTTGACTGTCCAGGTACAACTATCCTCCTAGTCACTGAGGCCCATAAGCTCTGTATCATCCCCAGCTCCTCCTACCCCACATATCTAAGCCTTGACCAAATCTTGTCATTTCTACCTTCACAACATCTCTCATATACATCCCCTTCTCTCCGCTCATGCAGCCATGTGTCTAATTCAGACCCTTGTCACCTCTCACCTAAACTACTAAGAAGGCCTTCTAACTAGTCTCCCTGCCTCAAATATCTCACTTGTTTTGTAGATTAGTCATATCTGACTCTTTGTAATCCCATTTGGTTTTTTTGGCAAGGATACCAGAGTGGTTTGCCATTTCCTAAGCAAGCTCATTTTACAGATGAGGAAACTGAGGCAAACAGGGTTAAATGACTCACCCAGGGTCACACAGCATAAGTGTCTGAAGCCAGATTTAACTCAGATTCTCCTTACTCCATGGCCAGCACTCTATCCACTGTGCTGCCAAGGTGATTTTTCTAAAGAGCAGGTATGATCATGTCAATCCACTGCTCATTAAGCTCCAGTGGGGCTCCTCATGGCCTCCAGGATCAAAACCAAAGTCTTCTATTTGACATTTAAAGTTCTTTATAACCAGGCCCTCCCTGCTTACAGCTACACTGGCCTACTTCTTGCACTTCAAACTATAGAAATGGAAGATGGGGTCATTTCTACAATACTTTTAAGGCTTGGTGGAAAGAGTGGTGTAATAGAGATCTGGCCTTGGAACCAGGAAGACCTGGGTTCAAGTGCTGCTAACTTTTATACAGCCCTGCAAGCCTTGCAAAGCCCTTCACAAATATAATCTCATCTGATGATCACAACAACCCTGGGAGGTAGGTGCTGTTATTATCCCCATTCCACAGTTAAGGAAACTGAGACAAGGTCCCATGCCTAGATTGTAAGAAAGGACTTGAACTTAGTTCTTGGGACTCCAGATCCAGTACTTTACCTACTTGGCCATCCGGCTGCTGCAGAACTCTGGGCTCTCTAGGCAAATTTTTAAGGCCGTAAGTTCAGAGAAGCCAACACCAACGGGTCCTGGTGGAAGGAGCTCCGCCATCTTAGAATTTCCTGTAGCAAAGAGCAAAGAGTCAGTCCCAGACCCTTTAAGGTTTACAAAATGATTTCCTTCCACCTCCTTTGCCCTGCCCCGCCCCTCCAGAGCATTCAAACCCGGCCCCCCAGCTCTTAGGGAGTAGATAGACTGAGCCAGGAAGGTAGGGGACCCCGGCAGCAGGGGATAAGGGCTGAAGACTTTCGGTGAAATGGGAGGATGAGATCCAGGGGTCTCTGAACTCCTTTCCTGCCCTTCCCGCATCTGGCATGGGGTGGGGGTGGAGGGAATCTTTGAATCAGCAGAGCCCGCTTCGCTTCCAGTCCCAACTCTACGCCACCATGACCGTGGGCAAGCCACTTCCTCTTCGGCCTTGGTTTTCTGTTTCAAAGAAAGCCTCAAAGTGCCATATAAATGAAGGATAAATCATGGAGCAGTGGATTCCGGAATATCTCTCTGCAGCTCTTCATTGCCTTCAGGATGACAGTCTCCCAAGATGAGCATTTGGAGCTGTCCACAACCAACTTCAGCCCCTTGGCACATTCGGCATGGAGCTGGAAGCACTCAAACTCCATAGTTCTTTCTTTGGATGTGGATAGCATTCCATCATGAAACCTTTGCAGATGTTTAGATCCTTGAATTGCTGAGAAGGGTTAAGTCTATCAGCGTTAGTCATCGCACATCGCTGTGACTGTGACTGTAGACAACATTCTCTTGGTTCTGTAGAGTCACGTTTCAAAGGTATCTGGTGGGGGTTTAGGGGACAGCTCAGGCAAGTCCCTGCCTTTACTCTGCCATCTTGGCTCCACCCCGATGTGAGTCCTTGATTTTTTGACACTGTCTAGACCCGTACCTTCTACACAGCCCGCTCCTGCCACCACCGCAACCGCCCCCAGCCGCCGCCGCGGTCACCACCACCACCACCACGGTCACCGCCGCCGCCGCAGCCGCCACCACAGTCACCCGCCGCCGCCGCGGTCACCACCACCACCACCACGGTCAC